CCCTTTTGTCTAACTTAGAAGGCCGAAGCCTACATTCCAACAATTACTTTATATGAGAATATTCAAAAGTGTAAATGGTTAAGGACTATCATTACATATGGTAGAGGATCTAGTGTCTTGAGTTCAACTACAATCCTACCAGCATATATGGAAATAATGCATCATATATCAAACAAACGAAAGTAAGATACATTAAGGGTGACAACACAAAGCATATTCTGCTTAAGTTTCTATACAATCAACAATAACAAACTCCTCTAGATTCAAGTGAATCAAGTAGGATGCCAGGAGAATGTGACATAGTTGCTTACCAAATCATTACCTATAACCATATTTGAGAAACATGTAGAAAATATTAAAATGAAAATGTTTTCCAAACTCCCTAGATTAATGCACGAATCAGGGGGAGTAGTAGACAAAAGGGGGAGTCTGCTATATATGTAATATTGGTATGTTGTGCTTTTTCCTTCACCCAAGGTTTTATTTTTCCCATTGGGTTATGTTCCTTGGTGTAAGGTTTTAGTGAGGCAACAATTTATATACCATACTACTTTCCAAACTCTTATGATTAACGTACGAATATGAGAAAATATTAGACTAAAGGTAAAGTATATATATTGCAAAGAAACTGGCGCGTTGTACTCTTTCCTTTGTCCTATTTTTATTCTTTTCCACTGGGTTTTCATTTTGGCGTAAGGTTTTAACGAGGCAAAAGTTGTGCACCATCACTCCTTTCACTCGGCATAAGGGGAAGTGTTATAGGATAAATGTACCGATCGTCTAAAGGATATGACGATAGAGATAGAGATATAGATTGAGATAAACATTAGAGATAGATTAGAACTGATATCTCTCGTAGTTATCTACTTGCAACTCTTCCCTATATAAAGGGTTTATGATTAATGAGATCTACAGATTTCATTCTCTCTATTTTATTTTTGTTCTATTTGTTTTTCCTCTAACAAAAATATACATGTGCATACATAGATATAATTATATATATGACATATGAATTTGGCGCCTTATGTCATGCCTTGTAACACACCGCGACCTCGGTATGGCGTGTAAGGCTTGAGGCTTGACCTCGCCACCATGCCACGCCTCACATGATTTAGAACCTTGGGCTTGGTGTTAATTCAAATATAACGGGGGGTTTGGATCCTAATAGTTACATAAGACAAATTCAGGAAGTGATGTCAATTCTATAATCATTCTACCACTACTAGTTCCCATAACTTTATATAGTTGAAAAAGAAGAGTACTTGCACATTGTAATATCAGTCATATATTGGTAATCATTGTATTTGAAATTTACCAGCCTTCTGGGATGAGGTCATCCCCTATCCCAGATACGTGAAGATAATAATCAGAATCAAGCTCCCAAAGTGCTGGTTTTCCTTCCTGTGGCTGGAAGTAGCCCAAAAATCTGGTCAAGACAATAAATAGATGAACTAAGAGGCTCGGTAAAGAGAAAATATAAAAAACAATTTAAACTACCTAGAGCATCCATGAGAAGGAAAATGAACCTAAATATATCTCCAGTAAGGAAGAGTTAATATATAAAAGCCATTGAATCATAAATATAGTAGGCCTCCATGGGATGATAAATTAAGCAATTAGACATTGAACTAATGACGTAAGATAGAACATTACAAATTTATAGCATCTTGTTTTTCACCATCTGTATAAGCATTGCTATAGTAACGTTTGATAGATTTTAAAAATTCTCTAGATTGTGTTGTAGCTTTCCACTTTCCTTGCCTCTCTGGGAATACCTGCAATCATGATGAATGGAATAATAAATTAGACCGCATCATCTTATAATAATCTCCCTATCCCTATTGGTTGTGAATTAGCCGGCAATTTCACAAGTGTACATACAGTGTTGTGGGCTGCAGATCCACCATACTGCTGTGCAAGAGCATCACCCATGCTTTGGTACATATCCATTAGAGCTGCAGCAATACTACTATCAGCATCCACTTTGGGATCATCTGTCAATCCCATGGCATGGAGTTGGCGACCTAAGGCTGCTAAACCATAGGCATATTGGGCAACATTTGTTCGATCTAAGCAATCAATGCAATTGGTTCGTAAAACTCCACTTTGGAACTGCGGATCTTTGTTGCTGTGGTTATATTTCTTAATCTTCTGACTATGGTTCAGATCTCTGTCTTGTTTGATCAAGTGACTAGAAATATCTGTATTACCAGTTACCGTTGATAGATCCCCTGAACCAGTTCTCAGATCTTTAAGGGAAGCCTCCCTGCAAGAGAAAGTTGCAATGGCTATAAGAATTTAAACTAGGAATATAATAATCCGAGAGATCAACCTTTGGTCCAAGATGAGATGCAAAAAATTTATGCTAATTTACTTCAACATCACTTCCAAGAGCTAAATTTTATCATGTTAAACATGTTCAAGTCCAAAAAAGCAAGATTTTCTCTAACATAAAAAACCAACGAAGATAATTATAATATAAGACAAACACAAACCTTTTCAGCCTTGGACATCATGATGAGAGAGATTGGAAGGAAGAGATTGGGAAACGAAGGGGAGGAAGGCAAGTAGAGTTGAGAGAAGGGCAATAAGAATCTTCCAAAATTCTTTAGCTTTTATCAGCAGTTCCAAGAAACATTTCCACTTACTTCTCTTGCTACTAAATCCTCTTGGAAGCAAATAATCACCCTAATAGTACCACTAAGGAGCTGATATTGAATAAAAAGGTTCATACATCCTTTCGAGGATAAACTCAATTATACCATGTGTCCTATTTTGGCTTGTTATGAAGACTAGGGAGATCTGGAAACTAGAGAGATTTGATTATTCATATCTCTTGTAAAAAATATATACATATACCTATGCATGTAATTTAAACATAAACCAAAAGGAACTACTTGTTACATGGAATCTAAACTTAAGGTTACCATTCAAAGTTTTGTAAGAATTAAGATTTTTTTAAGGTCTGAACTAGGGCACCCATTCAAAGGGCTCCTTAGTTCTCACAGCCCCCATAGAAGGACTTTGACAAGCTTCGCCAAGGCTTACCAAGTGAGTACGGTTGCCATCCAACCACCGTGTGAACCTCAAGTGCCGCATATGGCGCGCTGTTCTGTTGTCAGCATTTCATTGCCGCCATCATCATTTCGGCAAGTTCTCATTCCGTATTTTAATTCAATTTGTATATTGTTGTTTGGTTGTTTCCGTTTCCATCTTTTCTTTGCATAGTGGGAGAATGAGAAAATATATCGCCTTTGGAAACCCTTGGATGGCTTAAAATAGAATCCTCAAGCATGGTTTGGCAAGTTCAGCCAAGTTATTTTGAAATATGGATGCAAAAGTGCAATCCAATCATACATCTTCTATGGGCGATGTGAAGATTGTGTTCTACTTGGAGCATATATTAATGACATTGTGATTACCGGAAGCGACGATCAAAGCATATTAGAACTTAAGACATTTTTTTCATCCTCACTTTAAGACAAAGGATTTGGGATCACTTAAATATAGGAGTAGATATCACGAGGACAACTTCCTATCTAAAAGGAAATATGTTCTTGATCTTCTAAAAGAGATTTGAAAATCAGGATCTAAACCACGTAGCACCCCCAATAACTCCCAATTTACACCCAAGAAAGAATCCGGAGAGGTATAGGTGACTTCATGGAAAGTTGAATTACCTTACAGTAACGACCCAACGTTGCAATTGCCATTAGTGTCGTATGTTGATTTATGTCCGCTCCAACAATTAAACATTAGGCCCTTCTAGAACAAATTCTTTGTTACCTTAAAGGCGTGAGGACGAGGATTGTTTTATGGGTGTCATGGTCACGCTAAGGTAGCAGGCTTCATTGTTCCGGTCAAAACCCTTTCAGATGCAAACTATGATGAATGCAAGGATGACTTGAGATCTACCTCAGGATAGTGTGTTTGTTGGGGGAATTTGATTTCATGGAAAAGTAAGAAACCAAATGCTGTGTCTTGCTGCATGGCTGAATTTGAGTATAGATCTATTGTTGACTTACTATGTGAAATAGTATGAAGCAATAGACTACTAAAAGAGATTGGCTATGCACTTGCGCTTTCAGCAATGCCTCGTTGTGATAATCAGGCAACTTTCCATATCGCTTCAAATCTTGTCTCCCAGAAACAAACTAAACATATTGAAATTGCTTGTCCCTTTATCGGTGACAAGATTGAAGGCGGATTCATTACAAGAGGAGATGTTTGAACAGAAGACAAGTTAGGAGACATTTTGTTAAAAGTAGCAAATGGGACATAACATCTATAACAAGCAAGGCATTGATAAGAATCGAAATAAAACCAATGGAATGGATAAATAAATTGAGGAAAATTGAATGAATTAATTATCTCTAAACGGGAATAATCACATAGGGAATAAAAAAATACCAGGGAAGTCTCCCTCTCTCAAAGCGTAATACAAAGAGCCAAAGAAAATACTGAAAATCTCCTCAATGAATAAAAAAAAGTATTGCCTCTCAAATAGAGGCAGAAAATTCACTTTCCTAATCAATTTTACCAACTTCCCTTTTTTCCCCTTTTTCCCCTTTTTCCCCTTTTTCCCCTTTTAGCCCTTCTAGAATAAACTTGGAGTACTCTTGGGCTTGGCACATGCTGGGCTAAAATATTTGAATTGGCATCAAGCATGATCAATATTTATGCACCAGCTTGAGGGTAAGTGTTACGTATGGATATAGTAGGAAACTAGAGAGATTTGATTCTCTCATCTCCTGTATATAATGTATATATACATGTAATTTACACAAAAATCAATAGAAAGTACTTGTTACAGCTAGAGCCACTTGAAAGGCATGCATCTCATTTTGTTAGAGACATAACCCATCAAACTGGTGTTGTGCATACTGTAGGTGTCATGTAACATAAGCCTGTTTTTTATTTAGCAAGACATAAATTTAATGTTGTGTTTCAATGAACCGAAAACATTTACATGAACGCTAAATTCACCCGGCCATAAACCCAGATCACATTCCAGATATTTCACAAATTCCAAATTTCACTCAACATAAGTAAAAGAACATATTAAGATCTTCCATTTTTGTGTATTTGATTACTAGGAAGTCTCGACAAGGTTGTACTCAACATTAAAAAGCTATCCCTTTAACCATTTAAAAATTGTATTCAATCTCTAGTCTATAGTTTTAAAGTTAAAGGAGAGGGGAAGGATATAAAGGACTAATGATAAATAATACACACACATATATAGTATGTATGTGACGTTTGGACATGGCACCCGTCGTGTCGTCAATATGGTGGCAAATCGTTCACTACATGTTATTTACATGTCCACGCCTCATTACATTGGAAAATTATATAATACGATCATTTGAATATCAAATACAAATGATCAATTTTAGATAATAATAATTAATGATGTATCTAAAACACTATTTAATGAACAAATTCACATTTAAGACATTTTATCCCAACATAATAATAAATTATCACAATAAGTGGGTGATATTTATTAAAAAAAAACAGGTGTACTACTCTGACATAAACTGTTTCAGCCAAAACAACTGTAAGTAAAAGAAATAGCTGATAGATTAAAATTAACTTAAAAAGTAATCTTTAAGGATTATAGGCTTACGACAGCAAATGGTAAACGGAAAAATCAGACGACGATAACTTTGATAGATACCAGGAATGATCAAAAAACTCTTACAGGTTTACATAGGAGAAGAGAAAAGAAAAGATAACGTGAGACGTAAAGTGGATTTAGTTGCTATTACTCTTATTTTCAGTCAAACCTTCAAATATACAAGGGTACTTTTCAACCTTTTCAGTTCTTATGTAAGTGGCCTTTTTTATTAATTCTTCTAAACCTCATTTTTTGGGCTATACTTTAGACCAAACATATGACGTGAGACGAGTTGCCTCATTGGTTGGTCATCATCATGCCCACACTCATGACACGGGAAGCCAATTGTTATACCCTGGATTCGGCTGGAGATCAACCGGTCAAGGTTGGTAGGTTGGGTAGAAAAATCAGTTAGTTTGGTGTAGTCGGTTAGAGATCAAAGTTGGTGGGTGGGTAGCATAAATAGGAGGGATATAGAGGCTAATAGCCAAGGGAGACGTCCACTTTCTCGAATTGTTGGAACCTTCATAATCATACTATTTTAATAGAAATTACGGTATTTGACAATCTAGTGTTCATCTGGTATCAGAGCAGTATGAATGACGGGATGACGATGAGCATTTCATCAAGAGTCGACAAGATCGAGGAGAGTTTAGGGAATATGTAGGCCAAAGTCTGTTCCCTAAAAGAAGATGTATAAGTTGTAATGAAGCAAATGGAGTGGTTACTCAAGATGAAACGAGATTCAAGACGTCGCAAGCGAAAGGGAATTTGTCGTCAGCAGCTGAAGAGGACGAGGACTGGATTGGGTTTTGCGGTCCAGGGAAGAAGATTAGATGTACTGTCATTTGAGGGAGTGGATTATGACGGTTGGGCGGTGTGTGCTGAAACTTGAAAGGAACTTTGAGTTGAGCCAATCAACCGAAGAGAAGATTCAAGTCATCGTGACTTGCTTCGACGTGTTACAGTGTTTCCAATAGGCGAACCAACACAGACCGTTTACTAGATAAAAGGGGCTCAAGGTCATGTTACTACAATTAGGCTGACGCTGGTGGAAGCATTGGTGCGCCATTTTTTGGCACTGGGAAGGGAAGGTACCAAGATGAAGATTGGAGGAAAGTCATGGCTTGAACTTCTTCATAAAACGATGTGAACACTCTCCATCGCTTTGCAAGACCACCACTTCTCCTTTGTCGTCTGCAATGTCAAAGGCTGATAAAGAAGCTGAAGTGTACAAGGTCTATGAGAAGGCCATCAAAACGGAGGCCAAAGACAAAGAGGCATTAAGCGTTGACTTGTTTCAGGTTAGAAGAGGTGTACAAAGTTCTAAAAGGGAAGGATTTAACGGAAGTTGGATAAGATTCATGGTGATCTTGTGCAAGAGAGGTCTAAAAGTCATCAGCTTCCACTATTGAATGCCGAGATGAAGCCATGCACAAAGAACTCTAAAGAGGAAGGGAAGTAGTCGGATATGGAAAAAATGAGTATGCCAACAACCTTGAACAAAGTCGATCAATGTAGAAAAGTATGATTTATATGTTCCGTTGGGGAAGGGCCACAACAGACTAGTTACACGACAGCCATGGAGAACCACCGGTGCCACCAATACCACCACCACCACCACCTGTCATTGATGTAAAGAATTAGAACCATTTTTTTTTTGCTTCCCACCTTGAGGACAAGTGAGTATTGGAAGGCAGGTATTATACCCTTGGTAGGATGGAGGTCAACTAGGTAGGTTGTGGTAGAAGAATCAGTTAGTTTGGTGTAGTCGGTTAGAGAGTCAAAGTTCGTGGGTCAGGTTACTCAGGTAGTATAAATAGGGACCGAAGGATATAAAGGCTGATATGAATTCGATATTGTACATTGGGCAGTAGCCATGGGAGACCTCCAGCATTTCGAATTGCTGGTACTTCCATAATCACACAATTTTAATAGAAATATACAGTATTTGACCATCTAGTGTTCATCACCATGCCATATAAGTACCGCCATTACACCAAGGAGACCACATAACAACCATGATTATACATATATGTGTGTGTGTATATATGTACACACAGACATGTATTTTGTGTGTCTATTGGAGAAGGTACTGGGACAAACACATGCCAATTATTATTCTAATTATTCTAAATTATTCACCATGCCATATTATTTTTCCAGGTAAGCTAATAGTTGTCATCAATGTGGAATCACTACATGAAATACGCATAACTCAAGAAAGAAAAAGAACAGGGAAAAGAAAAAAAAGATTACGACAAAATAAAGAACAGAGAAATTCAGAAAGAGAAGCCTTCATTGAAAGATTTAGAAGTGTGATACAAAGACAAGTTGATTCACAATTTCAGTACCTAAGAGGTTGTGTATAGTGAACTAGAAACTTGTGCGGTTCTGCCATAATCACTTAAGGAACATGCACAAAATAAAGGATAAGTAACCAAAGGTCATTGGCCCAGCAGTATCTGGGTTACAGGAGAGCCTAACCTCCTTGGAGGTCAAGGGTTCAAACCTCACCGAAGGTGAGGTGGGTGCGTGAGTTTTGCCGCATATAAATATTATATACTTCAAAAAAAAAAAGCATCATACCTCGCAGTGCTTGTCCGGCTAAGTTGAATGGATTTCTTTTTAATAACAGCTGCCTTTCCGCTATAATAGAACCCTGTCAAATCCAGTGCTTCACTAGCAACACCACCCAAAACTCCCAAGACGTTGGCAGACTTGCTTGAACACATCGAAAAACAAAAGAACAGTCAATGGTAGAAGCAGAATATTTTCTTGACAAACAGAACATACCCACCTCTTTGCAAACTTGTGGAAGTCCCAGTGGATAAACCTAAGCTGATTTTCTTCTGGAAGTATCTGGTTTAGATACCCAACTGCATTGGTGAACTCACGGCGTAGCATCATTTCTCGTGGCCTTTTCTCCACAGTCTGCAATAATAACCATTACATGATCACCAGGTATTGCATTTTAATATTGCTATTTTCTATGCTAATGGTAGTTCCAGAGCACACTTAGATGAAGGGGAGACAGCAAGAGTAATTGATATTACAAAAGCATGTGAAGAATAAACAAAGCTTAGTGACGATGAAAAAAATGATCTCTAGACTTAAAACACACATAGATAGATCATAGATGACAAAAAGTCTTCAGGTTTTAAACTTTCAGTAATGGATTAATGAAATATATACTTCACAACTATGTTCCTAACCAAGAGAAACTGCAGTAAACATGAGAATAAGAGCTAAAGCAGGAGACTGAAGAACAGCCAGGTTGTCCAGGACACGTTCTGTGAGGGCTGAAAATAAGCAAGGAAGAAAAAGACTAAAAACAATGCAAGCTTAGAAGCACGGATGTACCAATTAACATGGAGATAGATCCAGCCAAGCTCTGGACTTCCTCAAAAGGATCCAAAGTGATCACCAAATTATCTCTAGTTGGATGTAGCAAATAATTATATCTAGTTTCTCGCATGAACAACAAATAGCCATTTTTATATTATTATTTTTCTTTCAGATTACCCTTCTATTTCAAAGGAGATTTCCAAACTATGGCTATTAACTTGTAAATCTAATCAGCAGCAACATCAAAAAATGACTATCATCGAGGCATATTCAAACAGATGTACAGTTGAACAGGAAGAAAAGAAACATATTTATACGAGATCAAGCTTAAATGATTTGACACAAAAGATAAGCATGCTCTAGGGATTTTACTACTTTCGTTCATAGGTTGGTCATCAGAAAAGGTTTGTTACACGCGTAGGTTAAGGCCAACTTATTCACTTGGTACACAACTCAGTTTCGATTTGGACCAAGCAATTTACTCTCCGAAATCACCTCAATATGGTCCTTTCTTTATAGATTTCTTTAGAAACGCCCCAGTTAGGAAGAAACAGATGCATCTTTGTTTGAACAAGTACTATATTCCTAAGGGAGGTCTTGGCTTCAAAGGGTTTGGAAAAATGTAACAAGACACAGGATATATGCATGTCAAGTTTGATCACCCAACACATCTTCATTGGCATGATGGATTCATCAAATATGTTGAAGAAGAATTTTTCAGGTCTTGAATCCCCATGTCTTTTAGGCGGAGTCAAAGGGGTATTCAAAGCTAGATTGATTATATTAGTGCAAAGAGAGGTATGATAAACTTTACATAGTTACAAAAAGTATACATTAGAACTGTCCAAGGCATAGAATACTCTCTTTATGTCTAATTCGAATTGCCCCCAACAAGGGGATACTGATTGACAAATGGATATGATAAGGTAATATGAAACTAAAAATTTATGTAGACTCATTAAAGGTTAAAATGCGAATGAAGTAACTATTTGACAAACACACCAATAAATTTAGCAAACAAACCTTGATCAGATTAAGCACAATAATTGGATTGTTATATCTCTTTTCCAGATCTTCAAAGTGAAGTTTGGTTGCCTCATATGTGGGATCATATCTTTGCACTAGAACCAAAGGAAAACAATCAACAAACCTAATCCGTCAGAAAAAAAAACCAAGATAATCAAGAGCGTAGTGCTGTAAAAACAAGCTGTTAATTGGTGATTCTTACATATGATATCAGGTTTTGGACTGAATCGTGAAGCTTCTTGCGACCAAAACAGGGGAATTGAACCCCTCATTTGTACAACCGAACTCATTTTCCCTTTGCATGATCCAGAATCTTCATCGAGGACGATTTGTTCTGTTTCAACATCATTTGCAACCCTACCCCGATCATTTACTCCCCTTTTTAAGTAACTGTATCCATGGAGAGCAATAGACAACTAAGAATATATAACATGTGAAGTATTTCATTTTGCTAGAGGTACTTTTTAACAATTACTGACTGTCAAGTAAGAAAGTGGCCTTCTTGGTAAACTTGTCACGTAGGATATTAACATCTGCTAGCTATTGGTGGTATGAAAAACATAAACTATAAAAAAACCCTTAACAAATACATGCACCAAGGTGCTGATAAGTGTTTAAGCTCATTACTCCTTTCACTACTTATGGTTCAACTTGAATTTGGAGGGTTTGTGCCCTACGCTGTATTGTGTCAACATCCACAATATGGCTCACACCAAACTGCCAAGGTGCAAGGGTTTTTTGCTAATTTGATAAGGGCCTTACGGTTATGCATTATTATTTTAGGGGAGGAAGACCTTATAAAATTAAATACATTTGCTCTCTTATTTGAATTTAAATTACCCAATAGTGTGTGTGTAACTGCATGGGGGAGTCAGAGAAAGCAGGTGAAGAAATAGTTAAGAATGGAGACAAAGTCAAGTAGGTAAGAGAAAAAGAATCAGCGTCTTTATTATTTTGTTCTGGGCACAAATCATGCAATAACTAACATCCTACTTTGTGTTCTTTATTTTATGTAACAATAAACTAAAGTTTACTGTCTTGGACAAATAAATTTGCATATGGTTCTCTAACACATTTCTAATAGTATATGTATTAGATTGTCTGAATTAAGATACTCCCTGTTTTCTCTATATTTTGCTGTAAATGGGTTTGTTATCTAGATAAATCTTTATGTCAGCCTTTAAGATCCTTATTTATAGGACACATAATAATGTCAACATAAATTATGTTTATGTTTTTGTACTTTTTTCCGGATAATATGTGCCATGCAAGGTTGGAATAACATTTAGACTTGAGCCATGTAGTGCACCTCGGACAGACCAATCCCAGTTCGGCAGATGCTTCAGCAAAATATATCTTTCAATTTAGTTGTTCTCCAACAGTTGTTATGAACAACACAACGTTTTTACTACACATATTATACCCATATTTAAGCCAGGTTTCATCATGCAACACGTTCACAAAACAGAACTTGTATCATACAGATAAAAAAGTTATTTCAGATTCCCAAGGTTCCCAAAGCTTTGGATATACTTAAAATACAATGTACATCAGAAAGATTGATTGTAATGTTTTTGAAGAGTTTTATGGTGTGATTGTACGCTGCTAGTTTTACGTTACAACTTGTGTGGTGTGATTGTAAAATGCTAGTTGTATGTTACAACTTGTGTGGTGAAAGTATGTCCTATGCTTTTAAGACTTGTATATTACAATTAAAGGTGCATTGCAAGTTGGACTGTATAAAGTCGTGTTGCAAAAATGTGTTTTTATCATTGAAGTTATGATATTATGCTTTGAAGAATCATATCGTATAACTACAAATGCAATGGTAATTGTATGGTGCAAGCGGTGCTGTAACAGTTTTGTGTTCTATGATCAAAATTGCCGGTTATTCTTGAAGAAATGTATCTTAGAAGTCTGTCTGAAATAGTGTGCTAAAGTTGCAAAATAGAAATAGCTGTTTTATCATTGAAGTCCATGCTTTAGAGACTTGTACACATAAGTACAAAATTTTAGTAGTTCTATGGTATGATTGTGTTAAAAAAACATATTGATTGCTAGTTGTAAGGTACATTTTGTGCAAAAATACAAACTTTGTCCTTGAAGCTGGAGGCTTTATGTTCTAAAATGCCAATGTAAGTGCTTTGGTGGTCAGAAGATACAAGTCGTGCTGAATATATGAGGGCTATCTCAATGGATCTGAAGAGCAGATTAGACTGATACAAGTTGTTTTATCATTTTCTATTTCTGCCTCATTGATCCAAATGGATCAGAGCTCAGGAACAGCCCTAACCACCTTCCATCCCGTGGTTCCAAAAACACATGAAGTGTATGCTAAGAAAACAAATAAATGTATGGTATACAGTTGAGAGAAAACCACTCATTAGATAAACTAATTGAATGCCCACACCACTACTGTTGGTTATAAAAGATCGTCTGGTCAATCTGAATATGCAACCAACATTTTATGCAACTACGGAAAGAAAAACTCTTCGTTTCCCCATTATAGAAATATAGCATATAAAATTTTAGGTGTCCTACAACTTCATTAATAGTCAGCTTTTTCATAGGGCATTGCCTAGCTACCAAAACTGCAGTTACTTCAGACATTTTTCACTTCAAAAACTACCTGTAATGTGCATACACGAGGTGTGCCAGAACACTAGCCATAAGGAAAGAGGTGATTTGATTGCTGCCTCAGACATGAATTTAGGTGTAGAATGGTGAGAGTATCATCATTTCAATAGCTCGTGCAAAGCCCCAATCATGAGTTGAATGTTATATTAGCTTCTATCAAAGCTTTTCTACACATCGTATATGGCTTAAAAACATGACGAAATTTTTGTTGAAAATTTGGTATTACTGGATGTCCTTGTACAGCAAAAAAAATTAATTGAGTTCTATGTTTGTTACTTTTAATATCCCTGTTCTAATGGGGATACAAAGCAGTAACTATATGATACTGAATGATATCTAATTTGACTTCTCTTTTGATATCGATCCTCTGAAACTCATCTTTCAACCTAAGTAAGACCTGAGAATGTAAAAGAAATTCCTACCAAATATAATTTCATCTAGCCTATTGCCTTGCTTAATAGTCCCTTTCTATATACACATCAAAGTGTTAAAACTTTGGTATTTGGTGGATGTACTTGAAGTAGTTACTGTTTCCTGACTCATTATATTTTTAACTTTTTAATGATTTCCATCTGCAGCAAAAAGAAGTTTGAATTCAGTCTGTTACCCTTTATTATTTCTGTTCTAATGGGGGATACGGACTAGTGTTCATATGATACTGAATGATATCTAATGTGACTTATCTTTTGATATTGATCCTATGAAACACATCTTTCAACCTAAGTAAAACCTGAGCATGTAATTTCTTTTTTTCCTGCCTAATACAATTTCACCCAGCCTATTGCCTTCCACTATAGTCCCTTTTTATAAGAACAGGAATATGTTGAGATAAACCCTCTGGTAGAAAGCTTTTATAATTCTCTGATTTCAAAGTTATATTTTTATATTCACACACCGGCTTTTAGAGCAAGCTTTAATAGTTCCAACTCATAGTAACTAAATTTGCCTTCAACTTGATAATAAGAACAGAGGTACGAAAGCAACTCCAAACTTTACCAGGGAAAACCAAACAAGTCTAAATTATTACGAATCACAAGTAAGTAGACAATATTGTTCATAAAAACTAGCTAGAAGAAACAAACACAATTCCAAATAACAGTTTGTACTCATGTGTCAACCATTTATTCAGTCACTTGTGACTGAAAACTGCTAGATAAACCACTTTATGCAAAAGCAAAAAAGAAGAATTAGATATTACGTTCATACAAAACAATCAAGAAAGAAATATGAAGAAACTGAGTTCCAACTTAGAGTTGTACGGTCTAAGGCATCATATAGCTGCATACTCTAAAGCATCATATGAATGCATACCGAAGAAAAAGAGTTCAATCAATTTAAAATGATCTCAAACATCATGGAGAGCATACCGTGTCCCTGCAAAGTGACGCGATCGCTTAGATAAGAGTGCAACACTGAAGTCTCTTCCAAAGACTGATAGCCGTATCTGTAATCACAAATGCACAATACTGCTTGAGTGAATCTGCATCTGACATTTATGAATTGACACTGACTTGAATACAGGATAAAATATAAATGAACGTATACATACAACAACACCACCCTGATTACTTTTTATCTTAAAAAGACCCCAAACAAAAGAGACAATGAATGCTAACAAAACTTTGTTTAATATACATGTGATGCAAGTTAAGATTTAGAAAAAATCTACTTATCTGATCACATGAAAAGGATAAAACCACTCTGTTCAATGATGTATTGCCAGGCTGTTTTTCATTGAATACACAAGTATTCCTATTAATCTCTATTTGCTATGTTTCTTACAAATATAAATACAACTGAAACTATCTTTGCTGGTCAAAAGATAACAAATTGCAAGTTTTGACTTCAACAAATTTAGAAGAAAACTTCATTAGCTTTCTAAAACCTTTCTGGGCATGTATCAATCTACTGGTGAAAACCAGCTTCTGAACTTATCTGTTCCACCCCAGAAAGATGAGGAAAAGATGGTAAGATCAGAAAGCCTTTCAGGACGCAGAACCCAAGATTGGATGTATTTGTGTCCCATTTACAGGCTTGCTAAAAAAGTACCAGCTTGTGGAGAGTCTTGACTAAGAGTTTAGGTGGAATATTTTTGTTCTTTTTGTACCAGCTTGTTCTTATTGTTGATACATAGAAAAACATTGATAATTTGATGTGTTTCACTAACCTGACAGGCCCACCAGACAACCGAATTAACAATTTAGTTGACCGTTGTTTCATTTTGTTTTTGCTCTTCTGAATAATGAAGGGAATTGCAACTCAAACTAGTGTCACTAAACAAGGCTTTTAACACTAAGCTATGATGTTGACCTCTATAACAATATTCTCTCTTTTCTTTTATATTATCTCATAATATGTAAGAAGAGGAATACAAAAATATTTTAAATTATTTATAAAGGGGAGCACTTGTCTAACAGAAGAGAATGGAACCCTAAATCAATCCAACATGAAGGACACCTACAAGCAAGTGAAAAAGCAACAAACCTGCTTAAAATTCCCATGAACCAGAGCAATTGTCCAGATAGTGTTCTTGCATCTTGATCGAATTGGTTGTGTTAGAAAAGCATTCCACACAAATATGTCATCATATGGCATCCCTTCATTACCAGCGGATAGAACATTTTTCTGTAAACTTCGCATTATAGGATATGTGTAACTATAGTAAAAGTCTTTTGTCAAGTCTACGCTGGACAAGAGCTTCTTATACCTGCAGCAATAGTGTGAACTCTGTTAAAATCAAGGTAACCAACTCCCCTGATATTTGATTATTGTGCATTTCAGGAGATGTGAGGAATGGGTTCAACATCACTACATCTTTAACCCAGAGTAGGAGGTTATTCTAGGTTGGGGCAAAGTTTTAGTAGATTACTTGAATCTCTATGGATCCATCTAATTCCTCATCTCTGTGAAGGTTGTCGTGTAAACAAACAGATTTACAACTGAAATGGATATGGTAACAACACGAACAGAATTCTCCCACGTTAACATATTCAAGAACAATCAATTCTGATTTCAGGTGGGGCAGGGTTCACTAGCTGCATTAAAACTTAATAACAATAGAACAAAATGGAACAAAAAGTAAAAATGGAAGTTTTCAGAATGAAGCTAGAACTCTACTTCCATTTAATAATATATACGTCGTTATTTGAAATCCACATAGTAAGTTTAAGTTGACGATGATATGTAACATCACATTTTTACACCAATACTTGCTATTTGATGTAATTAGCAAATTTGAAGTCGTTTCACATTTTCTTTTTCTCATTAAGGAGAATATTCATGTCACGAACTCTTGCATGGTCGTGAAAAGGAAGAGAACATAAAAGAAGTATAAAATAGCCCAAAGTTAGGAAAGCTCGCAAAGCAGTAAAGAGAAGCTAGAGGTAAAGAATACAAGGACTTCTATAACAAACCAGGGACAGGACTAGTGGGAGCTAATACAAGGCAGCTAAGATGACAGAAAACTACCAGGGACATATATCACATCAAACGCATCAAAGATTAGAAATGAAGTCTCTTGGACGAAGAAGATGAGGTTACAAAATCCTGGAGGTGATATTTTCATAAGTTATTCAATCGAAAGAGTAGCTAGGTTAAGGGAAACTTACTACTTTTTATGGTGTTTGTACATAAAACTAAATCGTTAAAAACGAAGCATCAAAAATTATGACTGTAGTAAGGCATTAGGTCTATTGAGAATTCCTGTATGGGTTTGATAGCACTAGGGGAGGTCATCTTAATATGGTTAGGTTATTTATTTAACGAAGGTCCGGTAATAACAACCTAGAAGAACCAAACGAAGATTTCAAAGTTGAAAATTTCATCAATAGATCAAGCCTACAAACCATAAATAGAAAGTAAAGGAAGAGCACAGATTAAGGGCGAGACTATGGAGCTGTAAAAACAACAGTGATTTATACTGGGGAGATCAACAACAAAGGCTATTTTCTTGCTAGGCAACTCACCTAAGATATGAAAGGCATAAAAAGGATTTAAATATGATGCTTACTAATATGGAGAAGGCATAGGGTGAAGGAACGTGATGTAAGCTCTTGAGAAGAAAAAATTACCTACAATGTAACCTAATGTGATGACAGATATTGTGCCGACCATGAAAGGATGTCAAAAAGCAAAAGAATACCATAAGGTTACACCAACAATTAATGTTGATTTCTTACTTTTTGCTTCAATTATTGATGGAGCGGGAAGGAAATAAAGATGATATACCATAATATATGGTTTTTGGCTATAATATTATATTGAGCAATAAGATTAAGGAAGTTATTAATGTGATTTTGGAGGTATAGAGAAACAGCTTGGAGTCTAAAGGTTTTTGTAACACACATCCGAGAGAAAACATATCTTCATTATAGTAAAAGCTTTGTTACAAATGATATTATCGATATTTGCAACATCACGACTACAAAGTAAAACATAAAAGCTAATACCCACGTCACAACTATTCCTATCGTTGTCAAGACTATAAAAACCCCGTGACCATTCTCATGAGCTCTAATCCCGCCACGTCTCTCGTGTCTTATTTGTGATACACATACATTTTTAAGCAAATATATTTGCCGGGTGATTACAAGTTTTGTTCAATGTGCTGCTAAAACAACTTATGCTATGTTCATGTTGGATTTCATTTTACAGTGGAAGTTGTAATTTAATGTGAAATAGAATGCGGTATATTAAGCACCACTTCAGTGATATCCATAGAAAGGCAGACTATGTGCTAAGCATATTAAGACAGGAGATACTTAGGAAGAATATGTGAAGATCTATATTGAAATGCATGTGTAGCCACATATTGAGGGATACGATTTGAAGTGAAGACACAGAAGAAAGTTGAGGCGACACCAGTTTAAAGAGGTATAAATAACACTGATTAAGATAATTTCATCATCTCCAACATAGATCTTCACCAATCACCAATGCAGTCAGCCAAGATTGACGTAGGGAAGTACCTAAAAGAGATTGGATGAAAAATACTATAGGAATTATCTTTAGATACGAGTGCATAGAACACATTCCAAGTCTAGCAACCCTAGCAAATGATGTCTTAATGTTTTTATTGGGCTTCATTATGTTATAATTTCTTTTGGGTTAATTTAAACCTAACCTCACAAGATTGGCATAGAACACCATCCGTCATCTTTGTAAAGATTAGAAACCAAGTGGATTTAGAATTAAAAATAATCCAATTGGATTTCCAGTGTCACAATTGATCGTGCAGTTAACTTTTTGGAATGGGGGAATAACAGTAGACTAATTATATTTTGGTGGGTAGTGTCAAGGAGGTCATATCTGGTGGCAATGAGATATGTGAACAACGTTTCTAAAAAGAAAGAAATAACAAACTCAATGGTCTGAATAGTCTATCAGCAGCATTGTCATGGCAGAGGATCTAGAAATCTACCAAAAATATAATGCATTAGCTGTGAACTAATTTGGAGCCGATCCAAAATAAACTACCACGACTATCATGTGTGTTTGTCTTATTCATACACCTTGTAACACGAGCAAAATCATTCACAGTCACCGGTTAAGTCAAACAATAATTAAAGCGAGCCTCTTATGAGGTAAAGAGAACACAAGAATACCTCAACTCGTTCTTCGAATGAGCAACATCAGTTTGAACAGAGACATGTGGAATTGTAATAATTTGGCTCTCCTCAATGCTAAAAATTGCATGACCACATATACAGCCAATCTGCCTACGCTTTGTAACCAATATCAAATAATATGACTCCAAGAACTTAATACAACCTGAAATCAAAAACAGCAATTAAGCTGAAGTTAACAGATCAGAAAATAATCAAATTATTGCGTTGCAAATTAAATGAGCCTTTTGACTATTAATTTGTGCCAAAATAAATGAGCCAAACACATTTCTTGGTTAGTTTATGGTATTTTTCATCTCACAAAATTTCTTATCATCAGGTTTTCAGTAATTAAATGAATGCAATCAAAAGGTGTAGCCGATTTCACCATGATAACTCTGATATTCAATATTCTGCTCAAAAATCAATCTCTGGAAGATTTAATTAAAAATTTACACACCATGATAACTCGATTTTCAAATATTCTGTTCAAAAATCAATCCCAGGCAAAAACAGAACTCAATTATTTTGTAGCTTAGGAGCAGAATCCATCGAATTACCGACCAGCGATGCCGTAGACCTTGGCGACGAAGGACAAACCACCAGTAGCTCGATTGCCTTCGGCAATCCGCTGAAGCAAGCTCTTGACTTCCTGAGGCGGATAGACTACAGGGTCTTCGCTTATATTGAGATCGGAGGGTTCCATGCGATCAATCTTTAGGACTCGGAAGAATCTCTTCTTCCGATCACTGCCGATGAGATAGAACCTGGCCCTCGTTTCATAGAGTTTGAATTTCTCAAGGGAGTAGGAACTAGGGTCCATTTCTGGATCACTGGTTGGGTGGATTTTGGTGGACTTCGCCATTGCCGATTGCTGGCGCCCTCGGATTGTTCCGGTGGTAGTTTCTTCAGAATTTTCCACTTCTCGGATCTCTTCCTGATTTTTAGTCCTGAAAAAACTCCCATGTCATATTTACATTTTCTACCCTTAATGTTTTAATTTTCACATTTTTGCCCTACACTTTTGAAACACAAAAATGTACACCTGCTTTGCTCCATCTTCCCACAAAATTATTAAATTTATAAGAAATAAATAATTCTTTTCACTTCATTTCTTAGGATCGTTTGTTTACCTGTTAATAGTTTCATTAAAATGCAATCTCTGAATCATTAAAAAATAAATCTTTTTTGGCAAAAAAAATATGTATCTTAATGGTTTTAAAACCTTCTGAATGATTTTGTATCATGGGTCTCCCTTAACCATTCAACATCTTAATTTCATTGTAAACAATTTCCAAACAATTATATTTTATTTTGCACTATATCATAAGAGTCTATTAATCATTTTAATAACTTAATTATTTTACACCAAATTATTCAGTAATTATCAAACAATTCCTAAGTCATTGTAATTGAAAGGGGGATGTTAGAACTTTGTTTGCTTAAGTACCTCATGCGAAGTTAGATTTGAACTCATTTAATAAAGTATAACCCTTGATGGTTTACATGAATGAACGAGTTATATGGACCCAGACTTTAGTGTGTTGATTGGGTTCGGTTCCGTAATGAGATATATATAGGGAAGGGTTCAAACGAGAACCCCTATGATTTACGAGAACGCAAGAATAACTTATTAACCCCATATTGTGATAACAATTAAAATTAAAAGATTTTTTAAATTAAAATTGAAATTTAAAAATATTCAAAAAAATTGAGATTCAAAAGGGTAATAATGGAAATCAATATCATAAAATCTTAAACACGATCACATTATAATCATCAAAATTAGAGTGATTATCCTTATCTTTATTAGGTATCGATTAAGAAGTTGATTTAAGGAGAAATCAACGAACAAAAAAGCCATAAAGTCTCAGGAATCAAACATCAAACAATAATCGATCAAGAAAAAGCGTTTGCATGCAAGAATCGAACAACAAGAAAAAGGAACACAGTTTATTCAAAGTATCTTTCACAATTACTCGATTTGAACATGCTTTCATTCGATTAGGATTAGTTTATCACACATTTATCACAACGATTACTAGCAAAATCGATTAAACGATTTTGTGTGATATGGGTGTGATAATCATATGATATCAATATCACTCGATTTGATCATGGTTTCGATGGGTTAGGTTAGACATTATCACAACGATTTCGGATGGTTTCGATAAGTTAGAATTAGATAATCACACATTTATCACAACGGTTACGGGCAAAATCCACTAAACGATTTGGTGTGATATAGGTGTGATAATCATGTGATATCACTATCATTAAAGTGCACTCGATTTGATTATGGTTTCGATTGGTTAGGGTTAAACGATCACACATTTATTACAACGATTACTCATGGTTTCAATAGGTTAGGATTAGACAATCACACATTTATTATAATGATTACTCATGGTTTCAATAGGTTAGGATTAGACAATCACACATTTATCACAACGATTACGGGCGAAATCCACTAAACGATTTGGTGTGATATGGGTGTGATAATCATGTGATATCACTATTATAACATCACTTGCACACTCAATTTGATCATGGTTTCGATCGGTTAGGGTTAGACAATCACACATTTATCACAACGATTACTCATGGTTTCGATAGGTTATGCTTACACTCGATTGATCATGGTTTCGATAGGTTATGCTTACACTCGATTGATCATGGTTTCGATAGATTATGGTTACACAATCACACAAGGCTCTAAGAGAGTGGAAACGAACGTGCAAAAAAAGGGATAATCATAATTAATTAAAATAAAATAAAAATTATAAAAATTACTTAATTGCATTACTGCCCTTATTAATTTATTTATATTTAATATAAGTTAATTTATTAATTAAAAAAGTTTAAGGTTATTGGGGTGTTCTCGTGTTCTTGTAAATCACAGGAGTTCTCGTTTGAACCGCCACACACACACACACATATATAGGCCTAATCAAATGAAAACTAATTAGTTTGTGGTAATCGTGAGGTCGAAGCTCAACCAAAAATCAATAGATAAATTAGAAATTTTATAATTTTGGTAATTTTGAATTAAAATTTTAATGCAAGCACATTTTAAGTATTTTGTCTCCTCTCTTCTCTCTCTGTCCCCCAGCCTCTGTCCTCCAGTGATACCACAGTGGTATCACAATGCGTCTTATATGTGCTTGGGTATCACACTGAGGTCGTTTGTGTGGTCGATCGGAGATGTAACACAGTGGTATCACAATGCATCTTATATGTGTTTGGGTATCACACTGTGTCTTTCTTTAACATAGTCAAAAATTTTAGGTATCACGGTGGCCAGAGGACGGTGGCCAGAGAGAGAAGAGAGGCGAGAGGAGAGAAAATACATAAAATGTCCTTGCATTAAAATTTTAATTCAAAATTACCAAAATTATAAATTTCTTAATTTATCTATTGATTTGTGGTTGAGATTGGATCTCACGGTTATCACAAACTAGTTAGTTCTCCCTTGAATGGATATATATATATATATATATATATATATGTGTGTGTGTGTGTAAATATATATACACACACATACATATATCATAGATAGGGCTTTATATAAATATCCGATGCTTTTGGGACAAAAACTTCACTAGTTTTCCTAGGTTCTTACATCATTTTCCCACTCAAATCCATTGCCAAACATAGTTTGATTTGCTAGATTCAAGTTTTACTTGAATACGATTGTTGTATCTTCTAAACAATTGTTATACAGGCGAATTATCAGTCTTAGAAAAGTGTAGGTCTCAATTATTTTCTTGATTATTGCAAGAATCTACTCAATCAAGTAAGAGTTTTATGATTCATTTTCATAGATTGTTTGTTGTTTGTACTTTCATACTCTTGATTTAGTATAAGAATCTCCATTTTCTGCAATTTCTTTATTTATATATACACATATTTTATTCAAATGATTGATTACTCTTAATAACATATTCGTGTACAAAGGGCGTGTGGTCATGCGCCATCAGTAACATTGTGTTCTCGAATTTAAGAAGACAATAAAGTAAAAGAAAAAAAATTGTGTTTTTGAGAGTGAAAAGAAATAAAACAAAGTTTTATGTTCTTAAGCAGAAGAGAAAATAAAATATATTCAATTACTTTATTTATTTTCTTTCATTTCATTATGTTTCCTCCGATGTTTGGGAGCTACCCACTTGTGTCGGTTTCGGGTCAAAAATTTCAATGCAGTATACACAACAATCATAAAAAGTTTTGTGTAGAAAATCAACCTTATTTTTCTTTCTTTTCCTTTCCTTTCGCTCCTAAAAAAACTCGACATTTTTTTTCTTTCCCACCACTTCTTCTTCCCTTTCCTTCGTAAAAAATGACTCGAGGACACAACGTATTATTTCTTATTGTATCATTTGTATGTCCAAATGTCAATTATCGACCGATCGTATGTTCGGACATTTGTCATGATATTAATTAATTGATTAAAGGCATTTCCTAGTTTTTTTTTTATTATGTTTTATGACCTGATTAAGCTTAATAGTAACTTTAGAATACATATGTAGACATTCATAGTCATCTGTGTTCTGATAGTTCAAGTATTACTTTGAGCTTTGGTTGGAATAAAACGATGTCGACTACATATTTAGATATTCATATGAATAGGAGATGGGGATCTTATGTATCAAACGTGACTCACTATGAAAACATTGTATTGGATATTATATGAGTATCATAAGTGTTGAGTATGGAGTTTGTTGTATCCGAGTGACATTATTTGACGGTAGTTCTAATCATTTCGTGATTGGGTGATAGGATAGTAGTTGAGTATGTCATACATCACATGGTAGTTCTATCATCTATCAAGATTAGATTTGTTCGTCCTATATAATGAGAGCAATGTCCCTAGGTCCATTGATTGAATGGATACATGCTCAAATGATTGATATAGGGATATCGATATTTGTTTTTATCATTATATTCATGAATCAAGAAATTAGGGATTGGACATAACAAGAATGACACAAATTGTTGGTCACAATCGAATCTACAAGAGTTTATAGGTAATTAGTTCGCTAAAAACTTGACGGGCTAGAATTGTTTATGTTCACACAGTGGGCACAAAGTCCCCCATAGTGGCGGTGCAAGTGCACGCCGACACTATGATCGCTTGTAAGTAATAAAGTGGTAAAATACCGAGATCGTTCCACAGGGACTGGACTACTGAGATTAAGAGACTTTCATGAACTTTTTGCTCGAGTTTCGGGTTGTGAATAAAAGTTGATTTTTTTTATAAAAAGACTAAAATAGTGAAATAATGTGATAATCGGGTTCTGGTTATTACCCAAGGTATTTATTATGTGAATTAATTGTTTATGTGGATACATGCTTACATGGGTTATATATGTGAGTATGTGTATTTTTATGCATAGRGATATATGCATAATATAAATATATATATATATGTACATATATGTGTGTTATGTATATATATATATATATATATATATATATATAATATGCATGGGCATGTGTGTGCATGAAATTATATATGCATGGGTTAATTGTGTATTCATGTATGTGGGTAAGGCTTGTAGCCGACTTTCCATTTTTGGAAAATATAAATAGAGGGTTTTGAGTTCTTAGTGAAGTTTCTTGCTTCATTTGGAAATTTGGAGAGCATTTGAGGAGTGTGTTGTCCGGATATTCAAGAAGTTTTGCCATCTTCTTCAAAACTAAGAATTCTCATAAGGTGAGTGATTTCTAAACCTTTTTGCATAAAATTTGTTACTGATTTTACTTGAATGTTGTTTATTATTAGAAAGAAATCAATATTTCAATTAAGGGTTTTATCCGGACAAAGGGTGACCGGATTAAGTCTAAATCGGACAAAGTTTGTCCGGATTATTCTTAAACCGAATAAGAGTCATCTGATT